TCTTTTTTGATAACACAAAAATATTTAATAATATATTTGATCAACTCTTATAATGATCTAATTGCTAAGGAAAAAAAATATCAAGGTGCAAACTACATCAAGAAATAGATATACTATTTAACTTACGAAGAGCCTAACGAGACAACAACAATTTCCAATATCAATTGCATACACTCCCATTGATATTAGATCTACTTAGCCAGCAATCTCGCACTTACCTTAAAAAGCACGTTCATTCGTATAACCTTTGTTTTCAAACGCAGGGTCATTTATTGTTAAGTTTTCTGCACATGATTTGTCTTTATTATTTTTCATTTAACCTTTCATTCAATTTGTTTTCTCTTCTAAAATTTGTATTTTCTCACTAAAGTTTAATGTTATCTCCTATATTGTAGCATAACCATAACCTTAAGCTTATGTTTGGTTGGGAGGGAGGGGAGGCGCTCCCCTCCCCTCCTTTAGTTTGGTGGAGGGAAGGAGAAATTTTAAAAATTTCCCCTCCTCCCCTCCCTTTCAAAACCTCCCCCCTCAAAATTGGGGGGAGCCCCCCTCCCTTCCTCCTCCTCCCTTCCCTCCTCGCCTCTCACCTCTTCTTCCTTTTCCTCCCCTCCCTTTAAACCAAACAGACTCTAAGGCAAATACATGTTAGTAACATGATGAGTCATTTGATTTTGCACCCTTTCTCCCCTTTTATGTTCTACACAAGAAAAGTTGTAATTGATTACTAAATGCAACTATTATTGCAAAACCAAACACTACATATAAGGGAAGTGCACATTGTAACACCCTACATAATTAAGACTTGTTTTAGAATATTGATAATTCTCTAAACATGTTTAATTAATAAAAATTTAATATTGAATAGATGTAAGATAATTTTTTCATCTTTCGAATCCAAACTTGAGGTTGGAAATATGATATAATTGAGTTATTTGGTTATTGATTTATGGTTTGGGGAGTTAAATAAAGGTTTTTATTGCTTATGATGTTAATTTAAATAGTGAAAACTTAAAATTTGTCCCATTTGCTCAAACCCTAAGTTATATAAAAAGGGGTTTTGATTTTGAGAGTAAATTCTTTGTTAGAACTTTAAATTCTAACTATGAGTAACTTAGTTAAGCCTCTTGGAACAATAATTTTTGGTTGGATTGAAAGTTCTATAGATTTTTTCCTTGAAATTTATGTCAAATTTTTTAGAGATTTTTGGTAGGAGCAAACAAATAAAATATTATGTAAAGAAAAATTGATTCAATTAGAAACTTTAGGTATCAAAGTACTATGTCTAAAATTTCTTTGGATTTTGAATTAATTTGGTGTATTGTTTTGAATTTGAGATTTTTACTCTAAAAAGGGCTTATTTGAAAATAAATTGTGAAGTTGATTTGGGTGGTTGAAATTGATAGGATCATTGACCATTTGACTATAATTGGATAATTGTAGTTTATGAAACCTGAAAAATATATAAATTTAGCCGGTTGAGAAGCTTGTATTTTTATGTTATCTAGTCTTTCTTTGGTTAAACCTTAATTGTGGTATGTATTGCTATTATAGGTCCTGTAAATTTCAAATTGGGTTTTTGAATATTCAAGTGGTTGCTATTGGATCACCATGTGGTGTTTGTTCAAGTTGTTGAAGCAATTCTAGCTAGTCCTTTTGCCCTTCTAAATTGAAGGGTTAAGGTAATTAGGATTTAATTCTTATCATGACATCTGCAAGCATAAGTAGTTTTCAAAAATTTGTGGGAGTTTTTAGAAATATTATTCATTATATGAACCTTATTTTTGGTACTAAGCCACATAAATATTGATTAAGTATAATTTTATGATATATATATATATAATGTTTGAAAAATGATATTTAAATGTATATATCGATGTTGGTGCCTTAGAAAAAGATTAGAATTATATTGTTAGTTTGAATGCCGTTTAGTATTGGAAAAGTTATGAATTTATATTGAAGTTATCTAGATTCAAAAAGTGGCTTAGAAAAGTGATTTGAGAAAGTATGTTTATCTACATACACATGTTTATAATGATGAATTGGATTTTATACCCCGCGCTTTATGGAAGGAATATTTGAGAAAAAGTCATATCCCCTGCTGTATATATATTTATAGAATTTTATTCTTTTGAAAATGATGATCATGAGTACATAACATATTTTGAATTATTTATCTTGGGATTGAAATGTGATTATTATAATTGGACATATATTTATGATTCTTTATAACTACATGATAATTGATAGCTCCTAAAGTCTATGTTCCTACAATTATAAAAGCATACCAACTATTTAAGGCGGTGGAAAAATGAGGTATTTTTATGAGCTTGGTCTCGATAGAGCTAGTAATTTGAATAAAACTCAACAAACTAGCTTGAATAAGTTTAAAGAAATTGAGTCTATATTGAAAAAATATCTTTTAACATTTGGACCTATTCTTGGCTTAAATGGATTAAAAAAAGTTTAGGCCAAATCTCATCCCAAATATCCATGTGTTATCTTTTTTATGTTTTTATGGAATATATAGTTAATATTTATTAATCCTTTATGAATGAAAACATTTTACACAAAGAGATCATATATATACCTGAGCACATTATTATAAATAGTTTTTTTAAATTAAAAAGTCATATTGTTGTATTTCTATCATTTTTAATTTATAAAATACTTTAAATAATTTTGAACATATATTTTGAACTTAAAGAAGTTGAGTCTTCAATATTTCTTCAATATTTTTTATTTGTGTCAAAAAATATATTTTATATTTTTATAATAATAATAATAATTGATTTTAAGGTGAAAATTAAAATTGATTTAAGAAAAATAATTTTTTTTAATAATCTTGTATCCAAGTTGGCTTGAAAATCTAAGGAAATTAACATAGACTTAATTATTTGAACTTTTCTTTAATATAAATTTAGGCTTATTTGAACTAGCTTAAATAAGTCCAACTTAAATTAAGTTCGTTTGGACTAACAGTTATAACATCTCATCAAAACCTATATATATACATATATATATATATATATATATATATGTATATATATATTCTTTTTATTTTATCTTATTTTTAAGGCTATATTATATATAACTCTCCTAAACTTTGAACCATGTATAAATAATTTCTTTAATCTTTAAAATTTAATAATAAAACTCCTTGAACTTTTAAATTCATATAAATAATTCTTTGTGATTTATTATATATCCCTTAAACTTTATTTTTATATATATTAACTTTAAATTTTGACTGATATATGAATAACCCCTAACTTTAAATTATGTATAGCTAATTAAGATATAAAATATTAAAATTAATAGTATAAAGTTATCTGTATAAATATATAAGAATTGAAGTTGATTCATTTTAAAATTTTAAATGCTAAGAAGATTATGTATATATGATTTAAAGTTAGGAAAGCAATGTATAATTTAGCTTGTTTTTTAAATATGTTCTTCTCTTCTCTTTCTACTTCTCTACATAGTGTTTGGTTTGAGGAGAAGAAAGAATAAGAGAGATTTTTTCAAAATTTTTACTCCCCTTCTTTTAAAACCTCCCCTCAATATGGGAGATGCCTCCCTCCTCTCCCCTTTTTATCCTCTTTCCTTCCGTCCCTTCTCAAATTAGAGTCGGTAATTTAGACCAAGTCCGACGGGCCAGCTCGAACCCGCCTGAAAAATTTAGGGCCAAATAAAAAAAAGTAATTTTTTATTGTTCGAGCCAGCTCTGCCTGAATAAGCCTAAGGAAATTCGAGCCAAGCCCAATTGGATTCGGGCTTGGCCCGAATACTCGAATAAAAAAATAAATTTTTAAAATATATATAAAATATGATAAATATTAATTAATTTTTTAAGTTTTATATCATTTTATACGAAAATATTATATATATAAGTGTTTTAATGTAGTTATTTTTTTAAAAAAATTTAAAATAGCTATATTTCATATTTTTATTATTTTTAATCAATAAAATAGCTTAAAATAATATTTAAAATATATTTTAATCTTGATTTTTATATTTTAAGACCCAATTTTTTTTAAACAAAATTTTGAGTCCTATAAATCATTTGCATATAAAAAAATAAATTTTTATTTTTTTTATAAATTAAGATAATTAATTTTAAAGTAAACATAAAATTAAAAATAATTTTAAAAATAAAATTTAGGCATATACGAATTCTCGATTCTACTACTAAATAAACATAATAAATAGAATAATATTCTTAAATAATTATTTAGTTATTTTTCATGCTAGATTTAATTAAAAATTAAGAGTAAACTAGAGAAAAAATTCTTTATATATAAGAGTTAAACAATATAAAAAGTTAAAAAAATAATTTCAAAAAAATATTTTACTCATAATTAAATAATTTTTTTATATAATATAATGATAACAATTTTTTTATATCCATAAAAATAAAAAGTATAATTTACCTAAAAGTTATTAAAAATTTTAAATTAATTGGGATAATAATTTTAAGTTAGTAGTTTAATTATGATTGAATTGAGATCAACTTAATCATAATTAAAATAATATAATTTAATTAAAATATATAAAATATTTATATATGACTATGATAAGAGCAATATTTAAACAACTAAGACATTAATTTACAAGTAAAGGAAATAGTCATGAATAAATTATACATAATACTATAAAATAATAACAGAGCTATTTAAATACAAAATTAATAAGTTATTTTTATTTTATTTTTTAAAATTAAGATAATATTTTACACTTAATAAAATTATTTAAAAATTAAAATTGATTCAAAAAATAAAAATAATACTTTTAAAAAGTTTTGAGTATTTGAGTCAGTTTGAATAAACCCGAAGCTTAAAAATGTTAGAATCAGGCTTGATTATATAAATTTTTTTAAAAAATAAAATTCTTTAAACTCAATTTAAATAAATTTGATTTAAATTAAATTTAATTTAAATAAGCCTGATTTTATCTGAATCATTAGCTCTATCCCAATCCCTCTCCCTCCCCTTCATTCCCCTTCCTTCCCTCTTAACCAAACAAAGCTTAATTTTTAGAAGGAAAGAAATTAGACGCCTCCGCCTTTCCCTCTTTAATAATCTCTTCTCCGCCTCGCCCCGTCGCCCGTTGGTCGTCGCCTCTCCTCCTTCATCGTGTTCCTGTTCGTGCACCGACGGGCTCAAGCTTCTCGCTCGCCGTGTTTCTTCTGATTTCTGTGCTTCTCGCCGTCCTTCCTTTTGTGCTCGAGTTCTTTGCCCTCCGCCGTTGCCTCTTCCTCTTAGTGATCGTGAGTTCTCGTGTTCTGCCTTCTTGCTCCAGGTTCGTCGCCTCTCCTATTTTTCTCGAATCTCGACTCTGTTGTGGTGTGCTTGAGATTCGAACCTTAATGTGCCTATCGAAGGTGAGGGATTGCTATTTTAAGTGTCAGTATATTTTTTACGGGAATAATTTGAGTGTGATTGGCTGTGGGGAGAAACTATGGTCTAGCTGATATTAATGTGATTTCACCAGCCTTAGTATACTTCTATTGTAAAAGTGAAGAATTTAAAATGAGAGACAACTTTGTGTTTATAAGAGCGATGCTTTTTATCCTGGAGAATGAGGGTTTTAATTGCCAGATCACTGGTTTAGCGTAGTTGGTCTTTATAATTTTTCGAGCTTTGTAATTTTTGAGTTAATTTCCAAAGTAACGGATTGTAATGTTTCCATAGTGTTGACAACAAAATTATCTTATGGGAACCTGAAGTGAAGGAACAGACTCCAGCGGGCAGGGGTGGTTTGGATTATTCTCTTCTGGACTTTGAGATTTAATCTATCTATCAGTTTTAGTAAACTTCAGGGCGCATTATCAGTTTTAGTAAATTTCAGAGTTTTTTGTCTCTACATTGTGCTCTCTAAGGAACATTGTTATGCCTAAAGATGCTCTCTTTGCCATTTGAACACTCTTTTGTCATGTATTTCAGTTTGTTCCAGCTACTGAGCTACCTTAAACAATGATACATGATGTCTTTTTAGAAAATCAATTTCAAGCATCAGACTTGCTTGAAATGGCAAGTTTGGCTAGCCTTTGGATGCTTTAGGGAATTATCAATATTGTTGGGGTTAGGGTTCTTCTGTCAAAATTTCCTGATGCAAGTTAAATTCAGATTTTTTATTTTATTTTATTTTAATTGAAATTTGACTTACTTAAGAATTTGAATTGATCTAGCAGCTAGCTGGGATCAAAATGAAGTGACTTGTTGTATTCTGATTGGGCAGAGAACAGCTGAGGTGATGCTCTCAGTGTTTGCAAGAACTTCTCAACATCCTTCTTATCTTCCTCTCTTTCTCTGAATCTCAATAGAGACATGGGTTTCTTCGACCTAAATGTACCGTACCTAGAACGCTTGCCGACTGACAAGGCCACTCTTGAAAGACAACGTATAAAGATTGTCGTGAAGGCTATGGAGTTGGGCTACACAGGAATTGCTTATAACCGTACAATCAAGGGTGTGATGTCTGATAGCCACCGTTGCTGCATTCCTCTACTCACCCTCTCGTCTCTCCTCAAGGTTGCTCCTTCTCTTTCCTTGTCTGTCAAGCTCCACCGTGACCTTCTAGGAATCCCATCAGCTGCCCCGTTCCGTCAGTATACACGCCTTACTGTTTGCGTGGAGAACTCATTGCAGGCTCAGGCTCTTAATTCAGGAAATCCCATTTTGAAGACCTATGATTTGGTGGCCATAAGGCCATTGAATCAGACTGTGTTTGATCAAGCATGTGAAAGAATGGAGGTTTGTTGTATTTTATTTGCTTTCAAACATATGATTATTGGAAAGGAAGGAAAATGGATAATTCCTTTTTGGCACTCCTTTTCCAAAATTGTGTTAGTTGCAGAATCCTTCGTGGAAATAGTAGCTTGCATTTTATCAATTGTAGTCTCATTACAATTGCTAAAAGGCATGTGGTAAAGGAGAGATAAATAAACAATTGCTAGCAATGAGCTGATGACAATCTACTAGCAACTGAAGATCCTGAAACTCTGGTACTTAATGTTATTGTAGGTGGATATCATTTCGATAGATTTCTCTGGCAAGTTGCCCTTTAGACTGAAGCAACCTATGGTCAAAGCAGCTGTTGAGGTTTGTTCTCAACCATAAATTTTTTCGTTTTAATTCTTATTCTTTTAAAATAAGATAATAATGAGAAGAGCATTTCAATGATTCAGACAATATCTAAATTAACATTGGGATTATTGATATGCAGCGGGGAGTTTGTTTTGAAGTTATTTACTCTGGTCTAATCATGGATACTCAAATAAGGAGACAGTTGATATGCAATGCCAAGGTAATGGTGACTCCTCTATATTTTCTATTTTTTCCAATTGCTAAATCACTAAACGCATTAGAAGATTTGGAACACCTTGATTGTGTATTCTTCATAGTGCATTTTTTATTTTATTGTGACTTATATTGGTCTCGATCACTGTGTCATGTGGCCTTATCGAGTAAACTTGCTAGGACATTCTGGATTGGTGGTTTTGTTTCTATTGAATTAAAGGATGTGGATGGAACTATGGAAGTTTTGCCATCTTTTCTTTTCTTGCCTGACTCTCACACCCCATTCATATTAGACGAGAGGTTTGTTAAACTGGCACTTGGAACTTGGAAGACAGGACGCCACACTCATAGATTTGTCTTACTTTGCGGATGAATAAAGTCAGTATAGTTTTCTTCTAAGTTTCAACTTATAAGTGGATAGATCTAGAAATGCTTCTAGAAGTGGAAGTTTGTTTGTTTTAGTGTTGGAATTCAAATTACATGCTCATATCTTGCTCATTCATGCCCAAATTTTCAAGAAAGTAGCTTACAATCTGATTAAATGTATAGTTGTTGGTGGATTGGACTCGAGGAAAAAACATTATATTATCAAGTGCTGCTCCTTCAGTTAATGAGCTTAGAGGGCCTTACGATGTTGCTAATTTGTCGTCATTACTTGGGCTTTCCAAGGAGAAAGCTAAAGCAGCCATTTCTAAAAACTGTAGGTATGAATGTGACAACTTGCCAACGTCTTTCAAATGTCTGATTCATTTAAGGTATATTGCATATCATTTCAAATGGTTTGCAGGACACTTTTAACAAATTCCTTGAGGAAAAAGCAATATTACAAAGGGGCAATAAAAGTAGAAGTTGGACCATCTGCTGCAGCATCTAAGTTTGAAGAAGCTTGGCATAATGAGTTGCTTAAGTGGGATCCCATCTCTAGTGGTGAAGGTGATCTGCTATTGGATGACATGGCCAAATCATTTTCTTTATCCTGCAAGGCATCAAGAACTACAAAAGCCATTGACTTTGCTTCTGCAATTGGCAGCATTCCATCTCATGGTTTTCAAGTCGGGGACTTCTTATCTGCTGCTAATTCTGCCCCTACCTTCGTAGATGATAACGATAATTCCCTGCATGTTACTGAAAAAGTAACTCCCTCAACAGCTGTGCTTAACAACCCAATTGAGCAGTCATCCACTCTTGACGTTTGTCCTGAATCAGACAAAGGATTATCTGATGCTCCAGCAATACATCATGTTTCCCACTGTGACAGTGTTACACTGAAAAGTTGCACTAACGGCTCTTCTGGAGCTTTTAGAGTCACTAAAGAAATAGAGACTCCAACAAGTGGTACAAAGTTAGAGTTCAAATGTCTAAATTATATAGATGAAAATTGCACCTATTTAAAAGAAAAAACACATGAATATGCATCAGATAAATGCATCACTAGTATTGCATTGGATGGTATAATTCCAGAGGAGGATGAGAAACTGGACACATCCTCAGCAGATGCCAAACTGGAGGGGACACACGATATTCATGGTAAAAAAGAAAAATCATCACCCAATCTACAGAAATTGATCTTCCTGCCATTGCATATAATTAGAATAAGATTAAGATAACCTCTGACATCTATTTGAATGCAGGGATCGCCAAGATGCAGGAAACTTGGCCAAAGGAGGATATTGTAATAGGAGAGCGTACCGCCTTGGAGATGAACCAATCTATATGTGAAACTTCGATGGCGGATGAACAATTTAAACGACATGAATCTGAAGCAATTGAACTTGGTGAGATGTCACAAAAAACATGTCATGAGGTACAAATGGAAGATGATTGTTCAATTGCAACGCAAATAACAGCAAATATAACTATGAAAGATCAAAAGCATGTGGAAGGTTGCATTTACTCTCACCAGCATGGCAAGGTTCAGTCTATGCCAGGTATCCCTAGACTTAAGTTTGCTTATTATTTCATTTTTCAAAAATATGCCTCCCGCCCCTCCCCCCAAACCATTTTAACTATTTTGAGCAGTGATGACTCCTACTATCATAAGCAAGCCTTGTGCATTATGCTTCCTTTGATCATAATTATATTGCATTATGCGATCCTGCAACTTGAGAAAATGATTCTGGCTGTGTTCTTTTCACATTGCTGAGCTGCCAACAAAGTTGATTTTCAAAATCAGACCTGCTCGTTTACAATCAAGTTATTTCTTGATATGTGGGTCATATGTAATTCATTGTACTCCATCTTTATTGTTTTATTCTTCAGAGAGTCATGGTAACTGCAATAAACTATAACTTGCATTGAGCTTTATTTATGAAAAACAAAGGCACTGATGTTCTGGATTTTTATATTGTCATCATCTGTAGGTAGATCTAGAGTGAAGCGGGGGACAACGAGCGGAATGCATCTATCACCTTTCAAGCGATTATTGAATCCAATGCCTTTCAAGAAGAAAGCTCAAAAAATAAAAACTAAAACTAAGATGAAATAATTGTGATTAATTTTCTTTAATTTGCCTAGATTCGATCAATTATTAATGTATCCATTTTATTTAGTGGTGGATAATTATACAATCCCCATGCTTAGCTTATTTTGTTAGTGTATTAATACACTCGTCACTTTTCGGTCTAATGTTCATATCATTTTTTTTAACAAGCATTACGCTTTACACAATTCTTCTACTAAACTCCTTCCATATTTTTATCTTTTGGCACTTGATCATGTGACCCATTAACAAGTAGAGTTTAAAAAAAAAAAAGACCACGAGTGTCCTCTTAAAAGCAAGGTGGGTTAAGCTTGATATCGATGAATCTATCAATAATTATGGTGGTGTTGGATTCATTTAGGATGATTAAGAAAATTGGATAAAGAATTTCACCAAGTATTTCGGTTATTACTTGATGTAGGGGTGTTTATGAGACAGGGTTATGATACTCTTGTCTTGTGTCTTAATGATTAGTACTTGAATTTTGTTTCGTTTTTTATCTAGTTTTGGATGTTGTCCTGTCCTATTTCGATAGGCTTGGGACAAAACTAGCATGTATTGGTGATCATCCTTACTTTCTTTAGCCTCTCTTATTTGTATCTTCAAATGATTAGTGATATTCAATCAACACATATAGATAATCATATTTTTGTATATATAATTAATCACTTGAGTTTTAACACAAATAGATAGATATGAGGATACAAGACACCCTAATTCAACAGTCCTTATGCATGTGGAAGCTATTTGGTTAGAATCTATTGTAAACTTGGATTACAATAAACAACAACTAGGCCTAGGCATAAACTTAAAAAATAAACATATTAGATTACTTAAATGGTAGCAATTTAGATTTGTGTTTTTAATTTTTTAAATCAATATCAATAATTATGAAAATATATCTCGCAACTTGCTTGGCTAAATCGAACATCACAGAGCAATGCAAAATTAAATAAAGTAAAAATAAACAGAAAATATAACCAAAAAAAGCATAATAATTAAGATATATGATAAAAGAATATATATAATGTCGAGACAGGACAGGAAGTCCAAAAGAATATTTTGAGTCCCATCTTGTGTTTTTTCATGCCGAGACAAACCCATCCCAACATAAACGGGATATGTATAAGTCAATTGGGACGAGTACAACTCTAAACATTCCAAATTTGATGTATGAACTTATGGCCATCCTTAAAGGCCTCAACCTTTGTTAGAATAATAAGCTCACTCAAGTTAACATTTACTTAGGATTCTTTTAAAGTTTTGTACTCATTTAATATGAATTCTCCCAGAATCACCCGTTCTTTAAAATTTTAAAGAATATTAATATTTCATAATGAGAGATTGAATGATTATTTTCAATCACGTATGTGCATTGATTGATTTACTTACCAAGCAATACATGATAGTTTATATATTAAAATTTGATCCCCCTTCGTTAGAATTTAGGAATCTTTGGCATTGTGACATGATTTGATTGGTTGTCCTTCTGCAAGGGTTTTTATTGGTGGCCTACGACTTTTTTTTCTTAAATTGTGAGTTAATCTGAGAGGCCCGTTAATGATGAAGGTCAGAGGAGAAAAAATTTGGGACCATTTTTAAGGAAAAATTTGGGGCTCTTGGAAAAAGGAAAATTGAAAGTAAAAAAGTGGTTGATATGGAAAGCATTTTTCCAAGAAAAATTTGGGCAACGCAATTCTCCTGTTGTTTCTCTGATGTGCCCTCGTCGTTTTTATGGAAAAACAGTTCTACACAATTTTTTTTTTTGGACTTTTGTATTTGAAGAACCTACGATCCTATCATACATAAAATACTTTCAGAGGGCAAGAAAGGTTCAGGAGACAAAGCTTGGAGAGAAACTATTTTCGAAAAATTTATGTCCCATTAATAAAAGGGTAAGAAAAGGAACAAGAATGTGGAACTCGTATCATTGAAGTAGTAGTATTATAAAAATACGATATAACTTTTTTTAAAGGCAATTTAACTCTTAAATTATAAGTCCAAAGGGTATATAAGATATTAAACTTGTTTTTTGTGCAATGTGCTTCCTCAATTTTTGAAAATAATATGATGTAACTCTTACTGTTAACAAAATTTAATTTTATCTAAAAACTTATACTTCCTCTATTAAAAAATATAAAATATTTTTTGAGAAGTTAAATGTTCAAAAATGTAAAGCATTTTTAGTCTTTTGAGATGTAATTATTATCTTTTTTCAAAAGTTTCCTTATTGATAATGACTTTATATTTATTATAAGGTATTTACTAGGGGTAAATATGAAAAGATAAGGTTAGTTTGAAAGTAGGTAACTATTTTATTGGAGGTGAGATTTGATTAAAAATGCCTTATATTTTTAAACAAAGGGAGTATAATTTTGTTAGACCCAATTTTTAGAAATTCTATAATTTTTGGGATTCTTTTCTATTATATTTTAGTTAGCATGGTTAAAGTTAATATTTATTAATTATATGAGTTACATGGCACTGTTTTTAAAAGTTGAGAAAGAACATTGTAAAAAGAACATTGTAAAAAAAAAGAATTTAAAGTTAACTTTTGTTAATAAAAATTACATTATTTTCAAAATTAAAAGAAAATATTATATAAAAAATAAATTTAGAATCCTAGATGTTCTTAAATCTATAGTTTAAAAGTCAAATTGCCCTTTAATTTTTTTTTCAAAAAAGTTATGAGAAAGATCAAGTAACAATTGTTGACGGCTTGGGGGCTTCCTTGACAGTGAAAAATCTCAAGGAGATTAATAGAAAATTTAAGCCCTCAATAGTTTTCCTTATGGAAACCAAAATGATGGATAAGAAGTTGAAAAAAAATAAAGAGAAGGTGCAGTTTTGTAAATGAGTTTTCTATTAATCCTTGTGGGAGATTTGGTGGCCTATCATTGTGGTGGGAATGTAGCAACTATTGATATGGGTTTTCACTCTTGAAACCTTATTCATACTAAGGTTTATTCTTCTGTTTTTTTTTTTGTTCCACATGTTATTACATTTGTGTATGGCCATCCTTTGGAAAGTGAAAGGAAAGTGGTTTGGAACAAGTTGAAATCTTTAGCTAGAGGGGTTGTTGGCTCTTGGTGTTGTATTTGGGTTTTAATGATCTTGCTTCAGTTTTTGAAAAAATGAGAGGGAGACCAAGAGCCCTAAGGATGGTTATGAATTTTTAAATTACTTTATCTGATTGTGGTTTAATGGATATTGGCTTTCATGGTCCACAATTTACTTGGACTAATAGGAGATTAGGGGAGGATCATGTTAAGGAGAGGTTGGACAGGTGTGTTAGAAATGCAGAGTTTAGATAGTCCTTTGAAAAGGCAATGGTTTTTTATCTTGACCATGTTAGTTTGGACCATCACATTATTCTCCTTGATTTCTATCATATCGAGGAAAAATCACAAAAGAAATTTTGATTTGATGCTAATTAGGTATCCCAAGAAGATTTCTTCACAATGGTGGATGCAAGTCGGAAGAGAAGAAGAAAGGGTTGGGTTAATATTACTCAAGAAATTGTTATTTGTCGGAATTCCTACAAGAGAGATTTGTGGAAGTGGAGCAAGAAAGAATTCCCTAATAAATATAAGCTAATTGATGAATTATTACAACAATTATAGCACTATAATCAGGGGGTTTGGGATGAAAATTTAAAGGTTGATGCTGATTTTATTGTTGGACAAATTGAAGAAGCATGGAAAAGAGAAGAGTTTTTTTGGTGGCAAAAGGCGAGGGTTAATTGGATTAGTTTTAGGGATAAGAATTCTAAATTTTTTCATAACACAGTGTTACAACGTCGGGCCAAAAATAAAGTTCTAAGGTTAAAAGTTGATGATAGGACTTGGTTGGAGAATTCTGATGAGATTAACACTATTTTTCTGCCTTTTATAGAAGATTATTTTCTTCTGTAAGTAGAAGACCTATGTAGGAAGCATTGCAATATGTTCGTGAGGTTTTTTTTGTTGAAGATAATGCTATGCTACTGGCTCCTATTTCTATTACAGAAGTTGAAATGGAAATATCTTAGTTGAATCCAACAAATACCCTTGGATCTAATGGTTTAACAGGTTTGTTTACCAATCCTCTTGCTTTGTGGTGAAGGATGAAGTTTGTAGGCTGGTTTTTCAACTTTTTAATGATGATACTAGTTTAAATGAGATTAATATGACTAGTATTGTTCTTATTCTGAAAGTTGACAGACTTAAATTTGTGCCTCAATTTAGACCCATTGGTCTTTATAATGTCATTTATAAAGTCATAGCAAAAATAATGACTAGTAGAATGCATGAGTTAATGAATAAATGCATTTCTCAACAACAGTGAGGTTTTATAGTTGGTCATATGATTCATGATAATATTATTGTTGCTCATAAATCATTTCATTATTTGGAAGGAAGAAAGGATTGTAAAAAGGTCGAATTAGCAGTGAAAGTTGACATAAGTAAAGCTTATGATTGTGTTGAGTGGGATTTTTTAAAGGTTGTCTTGTTGAGAATGGGTTTTAGTGAAGTATGGGTAAGGAAGATCATGGAATGTGTGTCTTCTACTAAATTTGAGTTGCTGATTGCAGATGAGTTGATAAATTTGCCCCTTAAAGGTACGATAAGGGGATCCTCTCTCTCCTCTTTTATTTGTTATTATGGCTGATGTTTTGTCTCAAATGATATTATTTCATGTAGAGAATGAGGATTTGAAGGGCATAAGGTTGGCAAAGGGGTGTCTTGTGTTGTCTTATTTATTTTTTGTTGATGATTCTCTATTTTTTATTGAGGCAGAGAAAGCTAATTGTTTGGTTTTGAAAAAAATTCTTAATGTGTTATGCAACTTCAGGACAAGAAATTAATTTGGAGAAATCTTGTCTCTCTTTTTTTTTCTATTAATGTTTAAACTAATTTGAGGAGAGAAATCTTTAAGGTTATGCAAATTTCTGATATTGATTAGCCAAGTAAATATTTAGGTCATCTTATTATTTAGGGCAGAGCTAAAGCTACTTTAGTTGCTTTTGTTATAAATAAGGTGGGTCTAAAAATATAAGGATGGAAACAAAAACTGTTAACTTTTTCTAGTAGAGAATTGTTAATTAACGCTGTAGCAAATGCAATCCCCATTTATCCAATGGCTTGTTTTGCCTTTCTAGTTAAAACTTGTAAAGAGTTAGATAGTTTAATATTTGATTTTTGGTGGTGTCATGGGGATGATAGTGGTGGGAAGATTCATTAGAGAAAATGGAGTTTAATGACAGCCACTAAAAGTTTATGAGTTTTAGGGATTTTATTGCTATTACTAAGGCATTTCTTGTTAAGATTGCTTGGAGGATGATTCAAAATCCTAATGATTTTTGGTGCCAAATTTTAAAGGATCTTTATTTTCTAAATTGTTATCTGTTTGAAGCTAAGAAGGGGAGAAGACCTTCTTGGAGATGGAGTAGTATTCTTGAAGGTGTGATTTGTTGAAAAATAATTCTGTTTGGAAAATCTAGGATGGGGATTCGGTGTGTATCTGGCAAGATACTTGGATTCTGGGATTGAAAAGTATGTGTTTGAAGGGTGAAGGTGTTTGTGAGGAGATGACAAAGGTTCGAGTCTCTTCTTTAATTGTTAATGGTTGTTAGGATTTAAATTCTATTTGTCATTTGATTTCTATAGAGGATAAAGAAGAGATTTTGAAAATCAGATTACCTGTTATGGTAGGGAAGGATAAGTTGATCTAGATCCCTTATAAGGATGGTTCATATTCTGTTAAGTTTGGTTATTTTGTGGCTAAAAATGCTGACTTGGTTTCAGTAAAATAATAGAAAAATTATTCTTATCTTCCTTCTAGGTGTCTTTGGAATGGTGTTTGAAAATTAGAGGTTCCTCCTAAAATTAAACATTTTATTTGGAGGGTTCTTAATGAAGCATTAGCTACAAAGGAAGATTTGACTAAAAGGAAGTGTTCTAATTCTGTTTTTTGCCTTATCTATTTTGACAATATTGAATCAACTGAACATCTTTTATTTACTTGCCCTTAAGTTAGAGCTTACTGCTTTGGGTATAGTTTGGGATTTTTGATGCTTAATTATGATAGCTCAAATGTTGTTAAGTGGTTTGTGGATGTGTTATGTGATAATTAGCAGATTGATTCTTCAGGTAGGGCATTAATAGCTACTATTTGTTGTGAAAAATGGAAAAGTAGGTGTAGCTGGGTGTTTAATAGTGATAAAATAGATGCTACGAAGGTTATTGTGAATGCTAGAAGGATTGTAATTGAGTATGGAAGTGTGAAGAAATTTTTGAATCTTGTTGGGCCATCTTGTAATCATAATTCATTATCTAAAAGTCCTACTTGGAGATTTCTTGCTGAGAATGAAATTAAAATTAATGTTGATGGGTCTTTTGCTGACTTTGGTAAGAGAGTTAGTGTTGGTTTGGTTTGTAGAAATTCTTGTAGTGATTTCTTAGGTGGTTGTGGGAAGATTGTGACTAATTCTTTACCTTTTATGACAGAATGTTTAACAGTTTTAGAAGAGTTAAAAATTACTAATTCTTTTGTTGATAAAAAAGTGGTTATAAAGATAGATTGTGAGGTGCTTTTTTAGATTCTTATGGGTAAGATTTCAAGTGATTATGATAGGTATTGTATTGATTTGTTGCAAGATATTCAAGTTGATTGGGATTCATGCAAGGATGTTTGTTTTTTTTTTTTTGGTGGTTTGCCAAGGCAATGAAACTATTAACTTGTTGGTAGTGATGGGTTCTAAGAGAATGTGTCCTAACAGATGGCTTTTAAAAGTTACATCTTCTTTATCTGATTTTTTGATTGCTGATTTAAGTGTTGTTAGAATTTTTATTTTTGATTGTTCTTGTGATGACTTGAACAAAGTTAAAATTGTTTAATTGCTTTTAGTTTTTTTGTTTGTTTTTTCTTTTTTCAGTGAGTTGTGTTGTGGTAGGTTGTATGTAACTTTTTTTAGAGTATTTTTTAGCTTCGGTTATTGGTGCCTATAGTATTTGTGATTAATAAAATGGACTCTTTTTTGACAAAAAAACAACTAAATAAATTGTTATTACTCTTGGCCTTGCTTATCCGATCGTTTAATAACAAGAAAATTTATATATTTAATGTACTTATTTTTAATTAAATTAATATATGTAAATTTTTTATAAATTATTTTCCCTATAAAAAATTATTATTATTAATTTTATTAATATATTGAGATTTATTTTTCATAATTTAATTAGATATAAATATATTAAATATATAAGCTAATTACGTAACTCTTACTCCTTTTATTAAAAAATATAAGATATTTTTGAGGGGTTAGATGTTTAAAAATATAAAATATTTTTAATTTTTTAAAATATAATTATTTTTGTTATTGTTTTTATTAAATAAATTATTTTATAGTTATTTTAAAATGAAATATTTTATTAAATCAGGAGGGGGTATTCTTTTTTTTTTTTTTGCTTTTTTTTTTTTTGGGTTTCTGAGAGAGTGCTCTTTAATAGCCCTTTCCCCAATACATTTTACGACATTACCATTTGTCAGTCACTCCATTCCATCTTTCTTTGCGGACGGACAATCATTTCACTTCGGCGCCAAAAACAAAATAAATAAATAAATAAATAAAAGGACAAGCACACCACTTTAGCCCCAAAAAAAAAACAAAAGAAAAGAAAAGGACAAGCATTCCACACTCCGTCGGACGCCGTCCACCGTTGTCAGCCCTGCGTGGTTGTTCTTTCTCAGACAAGTAGTGTAGAAGGCTCGAACTCTGGGTCTTTCCCAAAATCCGGTGAGATTGATTTGTTCAATCTGGATTTGAAGCTAGATTTGAATTTGTTCCCCCCTGCGTGGGTGTTCTTGCTTTGCTATGAATTTTTCATTTCAATTTGACTTCGAATCTGGTGGTGCAATTGTTTGAATGTTGACGCTTTTGAATTTGGGAATATTTACAGATTGAGTTTAATTTCTTTGTTTTTTTACTAGTTGTTTCTTGAATGGTGTGTGATTGGCTATTATAATTGTGCCCTCTTCATTTTGATTGCTAGCGACTTGTATGCTTTTGATTGTGTTGTTTTGCAATGTTGGATTTGCTGTGTATTGGCATTCTGTTTATTAATCTCTTTATTTCATCATCAATTTAGAAAATTCTGGAGGTATTTCTGATTTATGATCTTGCAAATGACTTGGCTCGAGTTGTGTGGAAGTATCTGGAACAAAAATTAGAAGGTATATCAACTATGGATATTTCAAAGATTTCAGTGGATAAGTGACTGAAGTTCTTTGTCTTCCTGCAATATGTCTGCTTGTGATTCTGCGGTTTAGATGTGTATCCAACTTAGTGATTCTGAGTTAAAAAGGGCCTCTTATTGGTGTTTTTCTTTTGGGGGGTTTAGACATGATGGTTTAATTTGATCACTGGTAAATGATCATTTCTTTCATTCTTTCTTTCTTTCTTTTTTTTAATATTTGATATATTGATTTTTTATGTTACAGTTGCACGGTCTGTTCTAACAAAAAATTCTTGGATTAATCTACTGTTGTATATAAAACATTTACTTCTTCTCTAAGTGTAAATCTTGTGAGATACTTCTTGTGCAGTGACAAACCCCTCATGGTTTTCAGCTTGTTGATGTTTAACTTGCATGATATGATATGTGCGTTTACAAATACATATTTGGTTTCCTATTTTCATCTTTTAATGTCAATATCAATATTTATGAGAACCTACTTTCATAATTGAAGTTATAAACTTCATATATGAACTTTACTCAATGGTGTGTAGGCTATATAGAAGATAGTGAAATAAACTGGTACTGGAACACTGTTTACTGTTTAGCTCAGGCTTCTCTATATATTTTCTTTCACCTCCAAGGATATCCTTTAAACTTTATTTTTTTTTATCATGACGTATTATTCCCTATTGGTTAGACAGTGAAATCAATGTAATATATTGCATCTTGTTGGCAGAATGGCAACTACAGTGGAGGATTGGTCACAGTATGGAATTTCAATGGAGGTGAGTGTCTCCAGCACTCGTTATTTTTTCTTTTTTAAATATTTGAGTCAGATAAATTGATTAATCAAAACTTACCTTTTCCTTCCAGGAAAAAGACAAGCTTGTTGGAGAAGTAATCCGTTATATGCTTTTTAAAACTCATCAAAACTCAGGGTGCCCAATTAAGAGAACTGAGCTTACTCAACTGGTTACTAAAAATTATCACCAGCGTAACCTTCCTGCTTCTGTGATAAATGAGGCCACATATAAGCTTTCTAGCATATTCGGCTATGAAATGAGAGAGCTTCAAAGATCCCAACCGTCGTCCAAAAACCAGTCACAGCTTTCTCAACAAAGTGAGAAATCAAGTTGTTCTTGTTATGCAAGACTTTTACAATAGGCAGCCTCTTGAATCCCCATATTGGCTGAAATTTTAATGAATAATTTGAGCAATTTATGCAGATTTAATGGAACCACTATATGGACCTTTTTCTTTTTAATCATATCATGCATGGTCTTGGTTGCTAATGTTTTATGCATATTTCTCATTGATCACATTGGTTTTTGTGGGCATTATGGATCATAATGACTTAAAATGAATTTTGATGGTTCAAAAATTATGTGGTTTCTACCTTTATGAATGATAGGAAGATATAGCTCTAAGGAAGTATATTTTATGGTTGGGTTGGGAACGTAAACTGACATGGATACCTTTACATTGGATAGGTATATGATGATTTTTTATTGATATTGCGTGTGCACATCTGGTCAAACAAAAAGAGGAAAAACCTTTTACCTTGTATTGGTATATGATAAGTATGATAAGTTTTCATTGATATTGTAATGTAATAAGGTGTGCATATATGGTTAAAGAGAAGCAAGCAAGAAAGAAAAAGTGAAAAAAACTGTAATAAATTGCTTTTACATTCAAATCTGTCTGTACTCCTCTTCTAGTTGTTGCTATCCATTTCGCTAATTATACTTGCTTGCTTTCTTCCAGATGTTGCAGATTCAAAATCCTACATCCTCATTAGTCAGCTACCTCCCAATGTTTACAAAAAATATGTTGTGGATGTAAATACTGCACATCTGACTGGTTTCACTTTTGTCATTGTTAGCATTGTACATCTTGCTGGTGGGAAAATTCCTGCGGGTATATTGCAGATTTAGTCTTTTAAACCTGATTTATTTATGTATGCATGAGCAAATGGTAGACTTTTGATAGTCAAATGCAACTATATTGTAGTGTCCAGATGGATTATTTCGGTGTTGAAGGAATCTGAAAATATATAGTTCAAATGCAAACTATATGGTGCAAAGAATCTAGTCTATTATGATAGAACCAGGAGCTTGATTGGCATTTTTTGAAACAAAAATATAGAACCATATGATTGCAGTGATTTATACGCCTACACATCAAAAAACAGTTGGTTTTCTTTTCAAGAGCCTAGTTTGATGTTCACTTAATCCAAACTGGGCATGATTTATATTTACTCTCATCTTGAGTGAGAGAATAGCATTCCTATTCCCCCTCTCTTTTCTCGAATTTTTGGAGCTTATTGTCAACAACCTTACTTTTAGAGATTCTATTGTAAATTTTTTTGGCCTAGGTTCATAAAGTGCCTATTATGTGTAATGCATAAAAGAAGCATTGGTTCAATGATGGAATAAAATTATCTGCTCTTTCTGTGTCCTTTTTCTCAGTAATAATATTTTCACCCATTCAGCTGCTTTGTCTGTAACCTTAGAACTCCTTTTCTTGAGAATGCTCTGTAGAAAGTCTCTTTACCCATATGAGGAGAATGGGTTTGTCTGAAAATGAAGAAAGCCATCCCCTATTTGGAAACGTCAAGCATGCATTAGAACTTCTTGTTCAGCAAAGGTGATTGCTCAATCTTGTGGTTTTTTAATGAGCTGTTGCAGTTTATGGTGCGTCTACTTGCCAAAACTGTCTCAAGAAGAATAAAGTAACTCTTGGGTTATCTTTTCGTTTGCAGATATTTACAGAAGGACAACGTCAATGGTCCTGAGGGCAATACTCTATATTATGAACTCGCTGAAAGAGCTTTAGATGGACCCATTAGTGACAAGATCAAAGAATATGTATCTCAGGTAGTGTCTTTGAATGTAAATTATACAAGGTTTTGTGGTCATTGTCTTCTGTTTATTTAATTCAATAGTAGGCGATAAGTGCCTTATCTTTAGCATTGACAAAAAAAAAAAAAAGCCTTATCTTTAGATGCCTTGGTTTTTTATCAAGTGCTTGTGTCTTTAAATGCTCTGTGCGATGTGGCTTTATCTCTGGTGACCCTTTGATGTTCTGTTCATGTGTTTTCTAAGGATGTTTCTGTCAGATATGAACAAGGTATTTGGCATCATCTTTATTTGTTTAAAATCAAGTGTTTTAACTTTTTAAAGTCTACTGTTGTTATCACGTCATGTCCTCAATTTGTGTGTTTCTGATAGAGCTGAAGATTTAGAAAAGATTTATTAATCATTTCCTAGGGCCTATAGCATAATCTATAATAAGGGAAATGGTGTAGGAAAGAGCAACTCCAGTGGACAAAAGAATTATGCTGGGGCTCCTGGCTGTGTATGGGAAAGGAAGTGGCATGTGAGTAGGACTTACGTACAGCTAGGGTATAGACTTGTAGCTTTTTGGTCTTTAAATCCTTCATTTCTGCCAAAGGGAGGGAGTTCCATCTTTTGAAGAGTGGAGTGTGTTTGGGAGAGTACTGGCCTCTCAAAAGTCCAGTGGCTGATGTCTTGTGCTCCTGTTCTGTGGGGGTGTATTTTGTAAAGTTCGGTGTACTGTTCAACTTTATATGATTGTAGTTTCAGTGCTTGTATAAGAGAGTTGGGGTTCACTTGAATCATTATCTTCATTGTAATTTGATTTCATTATTCAGCAAGAGTATTTTCAGTCTCATTTGTACTGTATTTTCTGGTTTTTGATTGTTTTAAGCTTGTTAGAATAGAGGGTCGTATCAGTTTCTCTTCTATCATGCTGAAGTTGAATCTTGATATTTTGTCTTTCATTAATGAAGTTTAAGGCGCATTCCCTCACTCTAGGGTTTTGGTAGAAAGCTGAGTATCATCTGTTAATGGGGATTTATTTTTCCCTTACTACCTTGACGATTCATTCGTGGAAAGAAAATAGGACATTTTTAATGAGTAATGCAGTGTTGGTGATGGTATGCTTTTATTTTAGTAATTTATTTCTTAAGAAAAATAAAAATTATACAGGTAAATGAAGTTGAATACTCTATTACTGGATTCGTTTTTATATGACTCGTTGCATTAAATAATGACAATAACAAGCCTTATCTAAATTAGTGTTGTGCCCAGAACAGCCTCATCGCCTCTCATGTGAAGAGAGGCGATGAGTACGCTCAAGTGCTTGCCTTTGGGTGCCTTGTGTGCGCCTCTCTCAAGCAAAAGACAGGCGCCTTTTGGTGCCTAGTTGCAATTCCCCATAATATTATTCATGATGTATAAAATGATTGCTACTTTTTTCTATGTTTTCTTTATATGACATAATTTTTCAGAGTATGTCCATGAAGGTCAAGTAAATTTACAGTTGCCTTTTTATCTATGGCTTGTTGTATGTCCATTATGCATTTTCACACGGCATTACTTCACCTCACTTGGACATGCTGTTACATCCTACATTGGAAGGACTTCGGGAGGGTTCTAGCTGTATAAATGAGTGCATTATATGCCTCATGGAGCTAGTTTTTTGGGGAAAGAGTAATGGCCCCATGACAACGCGCCTTTCTAGCACCTTGCGCTTAAGGCATTTTATAGACCTTGCGTTTTGAGTGCATCTTTCGCTTTTATCAACACTAATCTAAATGAGGTTAGTACTTGGATTGCATGTTGTCATTGTATTTATCTACAACAAGGCTCAGGCTCATTACAATCCTTTTGAAAAATTCATGACATTATCTTTGTTGTATATAGCATGCGCCAATCGGTTGAGCTAGGCTTTCTGCAGTTCTAACGGAATGAATGCTTTCCTTTCCTTGCAGATTGTGAAGAACGACCACAATCCAGTGGATGATGATTAGACTCAGTATTCCAACAGGGATAATTACATGTCTTGGACTGGTCACTGAGTTCCTTAGTTGCCTTTTTTGTTATGATCAGCAAATTCTGTAGGTTGGATGATGCATCGGGCAGTTATATTTGAATGCTTCGAGCTTAATGACTTGGTTGATATGATTTGATCATTTCTTGCATAAATTATATATATATATATATATATATTTTGATAGCTTCTAACTCACTTTTACCCTGCTAATGCTTTACTTCCTAGATTTAGCGAATTATATGTGTGTGTATGGATAACGGCAATAAAAGTTGGTCTACTAAGTAAGGATTTGTCCCATAACTCATGAGGTTGTGAAATCAAATTCTGCTGTCAATCTAAAGACCTTGTTGATGAGTGATCTATAAGTATTTCTATAATCATTTTTCAAGTCCAGAGACATGTCTTGGTCTCATTGAGCATTCTACTTCCCCAAACTTTTATTTCTCTCTTGCATACATACATAGATAGGTGTATGGATAACAAGAATCTAAAGACTAAGGTATAATTTATTTGAAATTTAGCCGAACTAAATTACATTGACTTCATTTTGTTAAAATTTTGTGGATTTTTCTAGTTACAAAATTAATATAAACTTGAATAGGCCTCATGCTTTTATATGAATTAAGGAATTTAAAATAAATCGTATCATTTCTACTTGTATTTTATTTTTTTATATTTTGTATGGATTGACTTGTTATAGTTTGTTATCTACTATGAATTAAAAAAAGTAAAAGAAAATTAGGGATAATGACAAATAAGGACCTTAGAAAAAAGTTAATGTCAAAATAAAAATTTTTAAACTTAGTACTCATTCTCCCATGTTTTAATATTGAAATTCCTAATTTGACATTAACTACTTGTCATTCTTCCCAAACACTATGCCACATGAATTTGCGGAGAATTAGGGTCAAAATTTTGAATACTCTCATAATTGAATGTAGATCTACACAATGAAATTACTTGCATTTTATATATAGCAAAGTATTGTGCTAAAGGACAGCCATGAAAGCTTTTACTCTTAGCCACTATGAAAATGTGAAAGCGACTCAAACCCTTGTTTTTGTTGCTCAATTGGTAAGTCGGTGACTCGGCATGATTGTACGCAACATTTGGGAGGGTTAGCCAATTGCGAGCGACACTTTAGTGCTTGAGAAAACAACACTTGAAGACATGTATAAGCAGAAAAGAGGAGAAATTATGGTTTCAGGTTCTTTAGGTGAAAATAATCAAATGAATACGGTATTTCTATATTCTAATCATCAACAATAAAAAATAAAATTAATAGTTTGTTTGAATTTATGAGAATTTAGATTTAAATTTAAACTAAATCCTTTATTTTAATTCATAAACTTATGAATTTGAATTTAATTTAAATCCAAACTTATTTTTTATCATCAATTCTCTGTAATTTTAAATTTTCTCAACATTTTAATTATTTAAAATTCTAAGCACTTCAAACCTTTCATTATCTTCAAGTTTTCATTATTAATATCTTTATAATTCTCATATTTTCTCATATTTCATTCTTATGCATGATTTTGTCCATGTTCGATTGAAAAATATAGGCAAATTAATTGCTCTGAATTTTTTGTTTGCTTCAAATCTCAACTCTTTTTTTTTCATTTGAAAACTTTAAACTACCCAAATAAAGAATTGTAAATACATGAATTTCAAATTTCAAATTTTAAAACTAAAATCCAAATCCAAGAGCTTGCTAAAAGTACACATGCAAAATCCCCTTCAAACTTTGCATATTTTACCAATAACTTCTTAGTTTTGAAATTACAACCCTTCCAACTTACTTCAATGAAAAATATACTATATGTTACAATTCTTCCAACTTTCAAAGAATTATAGACAATTCACTCAAGTTTAGCCATGTATTTGTCAAATTTCAGCTTCTCAAGATTTTGTTCCAGCTATATCTTCTAGCGTAAGATTCAGTGTGTCAATGGAACCTTTTTTCACATCTTCTCCACGAGCGGCCAAGAAATCCTCGACACTTCCTGGCTCACCAAACCACCCAAGACGATCTGCAATCAGGTGTAGATTATTACAGCCACCACACCTTGCAACCACCACACCTTTCTCATAGGATTCACGACAAACTGTCTTGATGGATCTTGTTTCACAGACCTTACAGGTGAAAATCATTGCAAGATCATGCCTTGAGGACGTTTTCAAACTGGACTTGGCAGAAAATTTTACAGAAGAACTCTCAGTACTGATTTTTGGGTCAGAACTTGGCTTAAGGCTGAGAGCTTCCTTATCTTCTGAATTTTCTTCACTTACATGGTTAGATGGATTTGTTTGTGTCTGAACTCCCCTATTATTAAGTCCATATCTGGTTAATATTGCATTGATAGAAGAATGCCAAGAGGATACTGCAACCACCACGAAAACATTAAATAACAAAACAAACATGTAAATGTAATACAAGGAGATAACCCCCCCTCCTTTTTTCTCTTTCTTCCCCTCTTTTGGACAATCATCTAGTATCCATTAGAGAAATACCAACTAGTTCATGTTCAAGTATTGTCGGGTCCCAAATAAGGAGATGCTTTTATATCATGTTTTTTCCCTATCTACAAGACATGGGCATCAAACCTATTCACTCTTGAATGTATACAAATAAAAGAATTTATGCATCCATCATGTCGAAATGTGTCCAAAAGTTAAGCTCTAAAGGCAAAAGCTAAAGTTCACAAGAGGCTTAAACATGCAATTAGTTGAGCAGGAGACACTCACAAGTTGACACTTGAGAGTATGACCATATTACTAACATATTATCCAAAAGAAAGAATGAAAGAAAGAAAATATAATATCAGAAATCATATTCTTCTGCCAAAAAAAAACCAGATATAAACGTTAGATTATTTAAAACAGGGTCCAATTGCAACTATATAGACCTCTTTTCCTTTTCTTTCCAATCCCTGTTTTTCTTTTCATTCTATATTTACATAAAACCTTCAGCAGTTGATTAAAACAAATTTTCCTTGCTTTTGGCAAAACGAAGTTTTTCTTATTAGTCAAAATAGTATTGACTTTTGACTCCAATGCAACATCATTTAAGCATAGCCATGGACTATATAAACACAATTAATCTATTACATATATTTCAACTTTCAAGCAGGGTTATATCAAGACATTTCGTGGCCATCCTAATTATTAAACAAATGGTCTTAGGTTTATGCATAAGTTTCAAGCTCTAAATAGTTTAGATTTATGACATAAAAGTTACACTCAGATAAATCAAGTATGATTAGCCAACACATATGCATAATTGATCCAATTTATCACATGAGCCTTGGTTAATAGATACTTAGACCAGGAAAAACTAGATTTAAACCAGAAAATGTCAAAAACAATAAGCACAGAAATGAACATTTTCCAAAGGGTATTACCACATTTCATGATGAGAGAGTTCCATTCATACACTCCAGAATACACATGAAACGACACAAGCATTAAAACCTAAGTGATCAACCATTCAATTTAGTAACCCCCCCCCCCCCGGGGGGCGCAGGGGGGCCTCCTTAAGGTATCAAGGGTTTATAAAGGAAAATGAAAGAAGGACGAACCTTCAGAGTTTTGGTTGCGAGGGTATTGTCGTGAAAGGAATGGAATCAACCGCCGCTGCAACATCCTAACACCCATGGGAAGGCAACTGCAAGTATTTGAGCTATTTCAGCGTTTATTTCGTCATTTGAGATTAATATATCCCTAATTCTGTAGTTTTTTGACCCGAATATTATAATACAGTAGCCTTAAATAAATGGCTGATTTCAAAAACTAAAGAAAGGGAACGAGGGAGGCAATTCCTACCTATTTTCATGGTCATTTCTCGACCAAAATTTAAACTCTTCGTTCAATCATACTCTTTTCCAGCATAAACACAGAGACAAAACAAATCCAAAATAATTCACTCCTTCGTACTCAGCCACAAACCCTACATATGTCACAAAAGGCAAACACTTTTCTAGTTTCTTCCCTTTCCTCAAACACTAGAACATGAGACCCGCGAAGACAATCAGGATTTAAGAAGAGCACGAGACCACCTTCATTGTCACTTTCTTGCTCGTACCCATTTTATCTCTATGATACCATATTGTTAACTAGAGACTAAGTATATATCTGAATATTTCCTTTGTATTCTCTAATGAAAGTCGAAGGCTTCAAGAACATGAATTGACCACAATATAGGGTCATAGTCATTACCACATCATCACACTGAACAAAAACAACAGTCTCAATTCAACTAACATAATCGGCACTTACACTATCACAAATCACACTATACCATATGTATAACACAAAGCAGAGTACAGAAAAAGGAGGGAAAAAGAACCTGAAGAAAGACTAGTTTCCAGTCACAGCGGCGCACACGATCCAGCTGCCTCACTCGGGCACCGACAACGTCGTTCGCTGCGTCGCTGCGTCGAGGCAGCGCACAATAAATCAAATCCAGCGAAAGGAACAACAGCAATGGGACGGCGCACGACAAGACAGTCGGTACTGGATCAACTTTCTAAGACCCGAACTTTAGGTCCTCAATTCGGATCGACCCAGATACTAACCCGGTTTCTATAACGGGTCAGCTTGCAATTTCTCATCAATGCGGTCCCCATGGCCGGGTTGAACCACTCGCTCTGAGTTGTTTGGAGTTTGGAGTCGGGTTGATGTACAGCCCTTTTAGCTTTTTTTTTTTTGCTTCCATAAAAAGGAATTCATTGTTGTTTGCATAAATATTTAAGGTGAAATATTCTTAAGTGAGATTTTGAGTCTGTAAAGATTGTGGCGAAGAGTTAAACACTTGTAAAATTTAAGGATTGTATTGTGGATGCAAGAGTCTTAAGTTGTTTGAAATTGTATTTATTTTATTATTTCAAGAATCGATGTTTTATAAAATATATTTTAAAAATAAAAAAATAATAAAAAAATATATTTTTTATCCTTTCTTGTTCTCAGGAATCATAATCCCACAACACCTCAAAATTGTTTTTATTTTTTCCGTTTCTTAAAACAATATTTTAATTTTTTTATTCTTTAAAATACTTTTTAAAAATATATTACTAAATAAATTTTTTTATTTTTTTATTTTAAAGAATAAAAAACTGTTTTTAAAATATATTATTAAATAGGCTCTTAATGTCCCACCTCCCTAATCAAATACCGAATCTAATAACGTATAGTCATTGGTATTTTTGGGTTATTGCACGTGTAGGGCAAGAGACGAATGAATTATGAAGAAAATCATGATATCATTGGCTGCGAAGGCTAGACATGTCGACTGGACATTTCAGGCTAATAAAATGACACCAAAAAACAATAGAAAACAGAAGAGAATGAAAGGGGAAACGAAAACTCTGAAAAGGCACGTGTAGTACCATTATCTTTTAAATCCGGTTACAAATTTTACAATAACAATCAAGAAATAATATAGACCACATTTGCTTACTAAATATAACGAATTAAAAAAATAATTATAAAAATAAAATAATTAAAGGGAGTATGTGAGCATATTTATAAGGGGGAGATGTAATTTAGTTTGTGAGGTTGAAAATCATGATTCATGAGATTTTTTAAGGGTTTGATAATTCTCATATTTATAATGCAAATTAGTGAGTTTTATCATGGAAAAAGAATGATTTAATTTATATTTAATTTAATTTTTTTAATCCATTTCATTTCATTATTTTTTAATAACCAAATGGAATCATAGTTTAAAGAATTGTTATGGTACAAGAGCTTTAAACTTATTTTAATAAGTCAATCATAGTATAGAAGAATCAAACAAGGTGTTTCAAGAGCTGTTACGTACAGTTGAAAAGAAAATGACTTAGTTAATTTGAAATTTCAATTGACTCTACTATGATGAAAATGAATAAACATAATATAAATGATTACAATTGTATGAAAGATTGAAAAGGCATGGCAGAAAAAAAGGTTAAACTTACTTTAACAAAATGTATCAAAAGAGAAGTCTCAAAAACTAATTGAATTTAAGTCAAACAAGACCTACTTGAACCCAAAATTTTTATAAAATAAGTTTATGAAATGAATAAAACTAAACAAATTGATTCCAATTGAAAAAAGAAAAAGGTCAAAAGCATGTCAAAGTGTGACATCTGTTGGCAATAGTAAAATAAAATAACATAGTTTAAATTGTGTTTAAGGACACAGCATAACAACAAAAATAATACAAAGGAAAACTTGAAACTCGGGAAGTAGAACGTAGGAGTGGGAAAGAGATGCTTGAAAACTCCAAGGCAGTGCATGGACTCATGCACACACATCAACATATAAGGGGATGGATCAGGCAATGCCATTGGGAGAGGTTAACACCATAAAGCCACCGGTTAAACAAGAATAAACCACCATCAAGGAACACGTTTCTAAACGTTAGGCAATGTTTAAGATGTTGATGAAGACACTTAGTTAGCTCTTAAACACAGTAATAAAATGTAATAATCAAAATTTAAAATAAGAATAAACATTTTTCGGCAAGCATGTTTAAAAAAAATAATTGCAAGGTTTGAGATTCCCAACATTTTAGGTTCCATAATTAGAACTAGTCAAATTAAGGATTTTCCAGTAAGCTCTTTTTAAATAAATATTTTTTTAACAAAAATATTTTCACAAAAAGTACCTAACACAAGAGGGAAATTATTAGTTTTCAATTAAGTTGGCTGACATTGACCTGTTATCATGCGTGCAAGACTTCTCTCATTGGCCCATCTGCTAGCATTCTTTCACTTCTTAATGCGTATTCTCTTAGAGCTCCTCTCATGCAGACAATGTGGGACTTAATCTTTTAAAGCACTTATACAATAATAACAACAACAATATCCAGCATTGTTAGCCCTGACATATACACTTTTTTTCATGACCAATGACATAGAGGGGGTAATTTCCTTGCAGTAACATGTGCTATGATAGGTTTTGCATGTCGTGGTAGATTGTGTTGTATTAGCAAAAAATTGAATTACATAATTAAATCTTAATCATTCAAAATTTGATCAAAGGATTAAGATGGAAAGTGAAGAGGAAAAGAAATAGAGAAAAGTTAAGTCCATAATGCACAAACATGTAACATGCATACTAAAGAATTCAACTAATCACATAATTACACCTAAACATGCTACCATATTATTAAAAGAACTAGCTATACATGATAAAAAAGAATTAAACTTAATATAAAATAAAAGCCCTTATATCATGATAGAAAAGAATCAAACATAGCACACGTAACTGCCATAGTAAAAAATACAATAATCATACAATACAGCTAATTATCCCTATACTATAGCGAAAAGTCACAAACCCCTACCATAGAAGAAAAGGAATATATCTAGCCAACATGTTATCACCAACAAGCAAACATAGTAATAAATTGAATAAAAAGTCAAGTGGAAGGCAGACAAGGCAGAATAACTCCTATAAAGGCAAATTTCAGATAAGAGCGGGACCCGGGGAGATGAAATTGTTTATTAGACGAAGGGTGTGTGAATATACTCCAATTAAAGTTGGGATGAATAGTGATGGGCCTAGTTGTTATATGTAACACCCTTTAAAAAAAAAATACACACACTCTAAATAGATACAATATAATGTAATGAAATATATGTGTAAGTAGTAATAATAATAAAATAAATAAATATATAAAGAGTAAATATAGGATTCTTTTAATAAGATTTCAAAAGATTTATTTCTTCTCTTATATTTTGCAAAATACTAATCAAGGTACTAATTATTTAATTTTTAAGTTTTTTTTAAAGAACAAAAAAACAAAGAAAGAAAGGAGAAGATGTCACAAGAGAAAAAAAAGACAGTAGGAAAGAAAAACAAAAGGAAAAAAAGCGTGTGATGTGACAAATTTGATAAGAATAAAAAATAAAATGATGGCCAGACATTTTCGGTGAAGCAAGCCAAAAAGAAAGAAGAGTATAGGGTGATGTGACTTTCTCAGATCCATTCATTTTGAACTTGATTATCGCTCTCATTTTTTTTACCTATAAATAGCAAGCAACATGTGAGGAGGGAGAAGGAAACGATAGAGAGTGGAAGATCTGTGAAGAAAAAGAAAGAGAAAGAGAAGAAAGGAAAAAGAGAAAGCACAGTAAGATCGTTTCTTGAATATCATTTTTATCTTCCAATTATATTAAGATAATATGTTTATCTTTGATTAATACCATTGTTTAGTCTATATTAAAAATTTTTAGATATTTGTTACTAATTATCCTAATGTTCTTATATATATTTTAGTTATATAATCACACGTATCTTTAGATTAAAATGATATATATATATATATATATATAATTTGATTTTTGCTCTTTGTGCATACCCAAGTTGCGTGGTGACTAAGTGAAAATGACATGAAAATAAGGAAAAAAATCACACATAAGTACCTTACTCATATTTTAGGGGCTCTTAGTATAATTTATGCTTCTTATAATATACACACTGTGCGATAAAGCAAAATGAATCAGAAAAAGGAAAAAAAATTACACATAGTGACCAAAATCACATGCTAGGGATCTTAGGTATAGTTTATGCTTCCTAGAACATACATACATACATACATACATACATACATATATATATATATAGTTAGTTTGTATTTTTTTTAATGAAACATAATCATTTATTTATTATATAGTTATTCATTTGTTACTTGTACTTATAGTTTTAGTTTTAAGTGATAATTATTTATTTGCTCATTTAGTATAATAAGTAATATTTAGTTATTTATATAATTACTACATTATGAGTAATAATTGTTTATTTACGGTTCTATATATTATGTATGAATTGTTTAAATTTATTTATATCAATTATTTTTTTAGATAAATAATTAGTATTTATGTCACACACACATTAACATATTTTAGTAGTAGTAATAATTGTTTAAATCATGCATTGACTCCTTGAATTTATCTTAGTTGCTCAATTAACATTTATATCTCCTTGTAATTATTTGATAAGTGTGTGTGCGTGTTTTCATTGTTGTTAATATTTAATGTAATGATAATTGTTTAATTACTACGCTTATGTTTATTTTAGTGTTATGACTATTAAAATAAAATTACTATAGGTGTAGGTGGGTGGGTGGGTGTGTGTGTGTGTGTGTTCCCAAAGGAATTCCTTTTATGGAAGAAGATCTGGGATAAACCTAATGAAATTCCTAATCAAGAAGGAGATTCGGGTAAAAGAAACTATTTCATGGATTCACTCTAAGGGACACCCTAATACAGTTTCTTATGATAAAATATAGTTGAATTGAAATTGTTTATTTTCAATTGTTTGATAGTTATTTTAGTATTGTTGGCTAATGTAATTAATTATTCATGCTATGCTCTGATTATTTAAAAAAAAATTGCATTCAAGGCAGCTGGACCATTATTAGTTTTTAAGTAAAGATCTTACTAAAAATTTAAATTCTCATTTGATTATTTTTGTAATGTGTTCAGATGCCAACAGAGAGGTTTGTCACGAAGATTGATTGGA